ACTGATGGAGAAAGTGAATTGGTTTCGAAATTTTACGTAGGAAGTGCTTGAAATTCTTTATAACTTAAAAAGGGTATTATTGTCTTTTTGAAACTATACCATTTTTTGTAATTTATATAACATTTTAAGGGTAATTTCGACTTTTCAGCCTTGGAAGGCTATTGTGGTGAGTGGTAAAAAATTTTGGGCAAAATGAAAAATGGCAAGTTTGACTTGGGCAATTTGAAAAGTACCCCTTTTACCAACAAACATTGAGAAAATTCTCTTTGTCCAAATACATTGTTTGACTAGGCTATTTAACAAAGAGTCCCTTTTGAATATGAATTAAGAGATTTTTTGAAAAATCTGATTTGAATTTTTCTCTCATTTGGCGGCAAATCCACGCACGACTGCCAGAAGTCGACAATCCACACACGACTCATCTCTATTTTACAGACTATATTAACCAATGTGATGTGAGGATGAGAGATCAGGTTATCCTTCAAATTCTTTACTTCCTGATTGATTTTGTTCTCTGCAAATGGCTTCAACCAACAACGAAATAGAATACGAATTCCTCCCATTTATTCGAGCCTACAAAAATGGCCATATAGAAAGACTCATGGGTACTGATTCTATTCCCGCCGGCATTGATCCGCAAACCGGTGTTTCATCTAAAGATGTAACGAATATAGTTCCCGAAACTGAAGTTTATGTCAGAATTTTTCTCCCCAATCTCAGCAACAAAAGTAAAAAAATCCCTCTTCTTTTTTACATTCATGGAGGAGGTTTTATTCTATCCACACCGGCATTTCCTAATTATCATAACTATCTGAATGCGCTTGTGTCTGAATCTCAAGTTATTGCCGTTTCGGTTCATTACAGAAGAGCTCCTGAACACCCTCTTCCGATTGCGTACGAAGATTCATGGGCTGCACTTCAATGGGTGATTTCGCATTCCAAAGGCGATGGCCCCGAGGAATGGTTGAACAACTATGCAGATTTTGGACGTATATTTCTGTCCGGCGAGAGCGCCGGCGCTAATATAGTCCACAATTTGGCAATTGCAATTGGGAATTCTGAATTAGATTTAGGGCTAAATATGAACATTCTTGGTGTTGCACTGGTTCATCCATACTTTTGGGGGTCGGATCCAATCGGGTCGGAGGCAGTGGATCTGGATAGGAAGGCATTAGTGGACCGATTGTGGCCGCTTGTGTGCCCATCGAATCCAGATAACGATGATCCACGGGTCAACCCGTTGGCAGAGGGTGGGCCGGGCTTGACGGGTTTGGGTTGTAGGCGGGTTCTTGTCTGTGTGGCTGAGAAGGATATAATGAAGGATAGGGGTTGGTTTTATTTTCAGGCATTGGGTCGGAGCGGGTGGATGGGTGTGGTTGAGATCCATGAAACAGATGGAGAGGATCATGCTTTTCATTTACATGATTTGCAATGTGCGAAGGCCAAAGAATTGATTTCAAGAATTGCTGCCTTTTTCAATAGGGATATGCCTCCAATGTTTCGTTAAAATTGAGTATTTCATATTTCTATTATAGAAAAAAAGAAAGTAAGATTTCCCGTTTCATGTCGATGTTGTGGATATGCTATTTGTATATGTATTGAATATCGTTTATTTGATTATGACACGATAATTGTTCGAGTGTGCTTTCCATAGAGAAACTTATGTCGACTTTGACAAGTAAAAGTTCAAAGCCTGCCATTGAAAGCTAGATAGGGATTGTTGCCATTATTTTTATTCTTATTTTTGTGAAAAGAAAATAGTTAAAAATTCACAGCTTATTCAATTAAAGGGTTGTTTGACAAAATTTTCGATTAAACATAAATGTGTGTTTGAGCCACATTAT